CCATACGCAAGCTGTCCCAATTTAATTCAAAGGTTGGGATAGAGGGCATATGTATGACATTATATAACAATAATATGTTATTTAAAAATAAAAAGATTATCATATTGATACTTATTAAGGCTCGTTTACAGTTGTCTGTTTTTATCATCTTGGAAGAGTCATCCAAAGAGAATTAATATTTAGGGTAAAAATGGCGTACATTTAAGAGTTTTACTTATGTGCGTAGAAAAAATAGTGTATGATATACCTGTTAAAAGTAATTTTATTTTGTTGCGAAAGATGTTTTCTTTCGACATCAGGTTCACACGTTTATAAATACCATTTTTTTTATCTTTTCCTTATTTACGAACTTGGCTTGAATTAAATTCCTGTATATTTGGTGGGACTGTGTACAAATTGATAATACTTTACAAATAACGTAGATTAAATTTTATCTTATATTAATTTTTTAACTGGTGCTTTTTCTTAACGTTAGTCTGGTGACAGTGGTGACGGACATACTTATAATTTAACATTATTATAGGTATGATAATAACAAAAAATGTCTTGTAAAGTTCTCATTAATTGTCTGCCATATTATACCCGGTGCGTCTCAAAAGTGGCTCACCCCTATAACTTTTTTATTTTATCAGAAAAAAAAGCGAGATTTGTTACGTTAGTATATGACATAAATTAGGATTGATTAACGCATTCAATTGTTTTTGGTCGCTTCCTGTTTCACCGGAAATGACTACAACTTTTGATTTTTAAATGGCACCCTCCGTATTTTTTTACTTTATTCGATAGAAAATTACATTTTGCATAGAATGACATATCATGTCAACTTTTGACATTCTCGCTTAATAAAAAAATGTATTTAAAAATTCAATCTAGAGTGCCATGGCTATGTTAAAAACACTATTTCTTCATCAAGGAGCCTTGGAAAAATAGATTTGATCGTCTAATGTTTTTAGTGTCTTGTCCTGGCCAGTTAGAAAATACTCAAATCGTATTTTTAATCATATCTCATTTTTTTTCAAATGGAACGAGGGTGGCTCATTAGTATATTTTGAAAAAGCATTTTTTTACGAATAATTTGATACCACACTTGGTATTTCAAGTCAAATTTTTGTTAACGAACCGCAAGTTATAATTTCAAATAAACCATATGCAAAAATGCCAAAAGTTGACGTATGCTATGGCATTCTATTCAGGGTGACAATTTCTATCGAATAAAGTAAAAAAATAGCAGGGGTGTCATTTAAAAAGCGAAAGTTGTAGTCATTTCTGGTGAATCCGGAAGTGACCGAAAACAATTAAATTCGCCAAACAATCCTAATTTATGTCATATACTAACATACCAAATCTATTTTTTTTAACTAAAAAAATAAAAAAGTTATAGGGTGAGCCACTTTTGAGACGCACACAGTATGAAAATTTATGATACCTACTATATATACCTAAGCACAAAAATATTTCAGGAATATTTTTGAACTCGTACCTACTTATATGTTTACTTATTTTTCTGGCCTGTCATAGAAAAAAATGAACGAAAACCTGCCCAGTACACAATTTATTCTCAAAAGAATTTAATAATAATAGGCACTTGTTTAAAAATTACACTTTTTGGCGGAAAATAGGCTAATAAAAATGAAGAAAATATGTGGAAAGGAGTGCGGCACCTGTGAGACCGGAAGTGAGAGCAAGCCGAGGAACAGACGCCGTGCGGCGAGTTGACGGAGCGCAAAACTAAAGGTTATCGTACACCGACCGACCCGCTGTTGAGAGCGACAAATTATAAGGATTAGCGACTTATTTCAATCAATTTTCTATTTAAATTCCTATCCTAAATGGCTAAATCTTTGTAAATTTGCCCGATATTGACAATATTAACATTTCTACGGCGCCTGTCGTTTTTCCACATCGGTCACCGGTATTTTTATACTGTAAACTTTGCCGATGCCCCTATTTCCGCAAAAAAATTGGCCAATTAGATCAAATGGAATTTTTTTTGGAAATAGTCATGACTGTCGGTGCTTGTCAGATATAACACCCTCCGAATTTTGTACTTTTTTTAATATCACTCGAAAGCATACATCGAAATAAGTATTTCAAGCCAAAAAAAGGGTGGATGATCCATAATTTAATGAAAAAATTAACATATAATTATTGCTACTTTCTATGCGAAAACTCCTCCAAATTTTGTCGGCGTTGCCAGATTCATCCATTTCTTCTTGAAAGGTTCATTAAAAAAACACGTGTGCTGGTCGGAAGAAAACTGGCGTTAAGAACAGATTATAAATTATTTTAAAATCAAGAAAAGGCGATCGCCTGAGGAACTGCTCCTACCCATAGCTGATATTTTGCCTACGATATCTGACTATTGATAACTACAAAGTTGCACGAAAGAGTTTTGATTGCGTTGGTTTCAACTTCTTTGGGGGTTAATCTGTTGTTTTTTATATTTTAATACGAATCTGAGTGCTTTCAATGTCTTGATTTTAAAAATAACTTATAATCTGTTCTTCTCGTGACAGCGCTACTGTATAAAGAGGCGACCGGTACGTAAAATCAAGCGAAAGCAATCAGATTCGTATTAAAATAAAAAAACAAAACAAAAGATTTACACCCTCGAAAAAGGTTGAAACCAACGCAATCAAAACTTTTTCGGTTTCAACTCTTTTTGTATCATGTAACGTACCGTATGATCGAAAAAAAACGGCGTCAGCCATGGCTATGAAATGAACATCGCTGTCATTTTATATGTAAAATTATATGAGGAATGTCATCGATCGTCATTTCAAAGCCAACTGGACGCCGTTTTTTCGATCATACAGTATTATGTATCATACAAACAATAAATAACTTTGGCAACAATGCTTACACAGCTTACATCCGTAACAACAAATGGTGACAGACGGCTCCGGCGGCAAGTTTGAATCGAAAGAGTAAATCGATCAGGCAAATATTACAAAAGATATCACCAACTCTATTTTTGATTTATGACTTACTAATGCTTCTCAATAATTAATTCTGACCTTTATATTAATAAAAAAATGTATAATATATATATAATCGTCATATTTTACAATAATTACACGCTTATACAACTTCACCATAACGTAAAAATTCACTTTTAATTTATTTATTTTTCAATAAATTGTGGTTCATCCGCAATTTTTTTTGCTTAAAATTCTTATTTAAGTGTATGCTTTCGACTGATATATAAATAAATGCCAAATTCGAAGGGTGTTATATCTGACAAGCACCTAAAACAGTTTCTTGTTCTCAAGCACATCATTTGCAGCAAAAATTTGAATTTGGTTTAATCATTCAAGTCAAATTTTGCATCACTATTTATTTATGGATCAAAAAGGAAAGACACTACTATAGATCTTTATTGTAACTACTATTTAAAATGTTATAAAATACAATATTAAACATTAATATATAAAGTATCTACCTACATATACCGTATAATAAAAAAAACGCGTCCAGTTGGTATGGAAATGACGACCGATGACATTCCCCATATAAAATGATGAGCGATCTTAATTTCATTGCCAACGCTGTTTTTTTTTCGATCATACGGTAGTAGGTATATTTGCTAATAAAAGTAAATATGTACTGACGATAAATATTGTTTTAGCTAAACTGTATTATACAAATATTGAACAATATATCAAAACATTTTGATACATAAATACCCATAGAGTTCTGATATATACTGAGATACTGAAGTAATATTTCTAAAAAACTGTCGTAGAATACATTTTTTATTAAAATAATAACACTGTAAATAATAATTATTAAAAAAATAACACCAAATTTCATAACTGTACGATTCTATTTTCTAGCAGTAAAGCGTAACGTGTATGAAAACTTTAGCGTCGTGTTTCAAAGTCTTTAGCCTCTATGACACAACATGGATATGGATTGACTACTAGATCCAAAACTAAATTACTTAAATTAGTAAAAGTAAGTAGAACTTTTTAAATACTCGGCCCATATACCTAATTAAAATAATAAAAAAAAACTATACGTAATAGTTTTCATACATAGGTAGGTAGGTATCTCAAAAGTCAAAACAAAACAAGATGCAATTAAAGATAAACAAATTCTAGAATTAAATATAATCACAATTTCTAAAGACTCGCATCAGTAAAAGTGCGACCTCAGAGATAAACAATACTCCATTATAACATAAAATTTAATATTTATTATTCCACTCTTTGTGACGCTATAAAAATTTCTTAAGCTACTGATAGAGCATTTGGTTACCTATAAATGTCCGAAAGAAGTATCTAATTTTTAATATTATTCCAAAATTAAGAAACATTAGGGTGAATATAGCTTGTTAATGTTCCAACAAAATTTCCAATAAAAGGACGCCAGTACATCATTTTCTTGTGAATTAAGAATATTTGAAAACGGCGTTCAAAAAAACATTAACAATATTTATCCCTATTAAATCCCTATCAAAAATCAACATTTCAAATGTTCCAAAATATACCACAAACAAAAATTAAAAGGCTAGTAGAGAAATAGCCTCGAGAAAGGTATCTTTTAAGAGCCTTATTGATTTCGCCATTTTGAATGGACGCGTCAGAGAGAGTAGGCTATGGCTGCCTAGCCTCGGCGAGAGGAGTCGCCGCTATTATGGCGGGATGCTTGGCTTTAGTATTTTGTTTACAAAGATGAACCTATATTTTTCTCAACGCGACAACATTTCAAACACAAATTAATTAAGAATATATAAAATAGAAATTTTGTAGACTAATTATGGCGTCTGAAAAGGAAGCCATTAGGTAATTTCTATGTGGCCGGTGTTTAAACTCACATGGCAACAAGCGTCCTATTATTTTCAAAAATATCGTATTATTCAGGCAAATATACGTAACTACGTATGAAACGTTGTTTAGGGTATTCACTAAATCAATCCACTTGGAACAAAAGAAATGTCACGACGATAGAAAACAAAAAAATATTGAAATATAGAAAAATGTATGCTATCAACTTACCTCTGCCGCTCGCTTCGTTCCTTTGAGCTCGCATTTTGCGTCTACGCTTTTTTCGTTGTCTAAACTTTCAACTGCAACTTCTTTGTTTTCCTTCGTACTCATTTTGTTTATTTTTGTTGAAATTTTTTCTTATTTCTTCCAAGTGAACACTACGAACGCCGAAAACACTACTGACCGGCACGGAGGTAGCTTCGTTCAAAAATTAATATGGCGCCGTTTGACCCGAATGATTCCGCAAACAGCCGAACAACCGGCTTTTCGTTTAAAAGTAAAGTTAACCAAGAAATTATTCTTGGACAATTTCTCACTGAAAACTGTGCACCGTGGTAAATTTACACATAAATTGGCTTTGGGAAAAACGAGATATTAATTTTCTAATATCTTCAGATGAGGGATTCAAGATTCAAGTTTAAAGCTTCGGTTTGGGAACGCGATTAAAAATTTGATTTATATATGCCTCCACCAGAGGGCTCTATTCAAAAATATTCCCTCCTTTTAGATTAATCAAAGTCTAAATAATTTAAATATAGACAAGAAAGAGTCATTCACTATATCAGAAATCATTTATTATTATTCCAGAAACTTTTTTCTATCACTAGTTCAGCATTTGATCCATTATTATTAAAAATATATAATTTCTTGGAAATTCAAGTGCATGCGTCCATTTCGGAAAATGGCGCAAGCCATGTTGCTTTTTATTTCAATAAACTGTACATTTATTATAATACACATACGTAATGGAGGAAAAATGAACAGCATTTACAGGATTTTAGTATCTAATAAATAATTTAGGGCATTAAAAGATTAATTAAAATTCCTCCATTTTTTTTTACTAAATACAGGAACTGCAAAAAATTTTTTTTTCTAAAAGCAGATAAAAATAAGTTGCAGAACTAACTTTCACTATGCAACTTAATTATAATTTTATTAAAATCAGAGTTAATATTTTCGAGCTAGTTTACTTATTTAGGTCTCATACATATGAATATTAATTATTCCAAGATAAGAATTCCATTAATGAAAAAATTACGTCACCATAATATTCCAGAAATTAAAATCCCAGTTTAATAAAAATGAAATAAAAAATCTATCAATAAGATAGAAAAAGATAGGCGAAAGTGAGAGGATTATAATTTTAAATTTGCCTCCTTTTCTTTATTTGACACTTTTGACAGTTTCCGTCTCTCGTCCTTGTCTTAAGTGACAGTGACAGAGAGAGTTGACAAACGTCTCTTTTTTTTCTCTTTTGACAGTTTTTAAAAAGCAAAATGGTGAGTTTTGGGGAAAATAATTGTGAAATATTTAATTCTACGATCATCTAAGTTTTTATTAAACTTTCTGATGATTTATCCGAAACTTTGTTAGGCAAATTAGTTGCTAAACATGTTTTGCATTAATATTTTGGAATAAAATATGTATTAAGTCTCCAACTGTTGAGGTTATATTTACTGCCAAAACAACATTTTTTTTAAACAGGTAATTTAAATATTAATTGTAATTACAATGTTTCTTTTAGGTGAACGTACCGAAACAACGGCGTACATTTTGCAAAAAATGCAAAGTTCATAAGTTGCATAAAGTAACACAATACAAAAAATCAAAGGAACGTCATGCATCCCAAGGCAGAAGACGTTACGACAGGAAACAACAAGGTTTTGGTGGTCAGACTAAGCCTATTTTCAGGAAGAAGGTATTTTTTACATGCTTTTATTGTTTATTTTATTTTAAATTATTATTTGCCTGTTTTAAAATAATCGATGTAATAATATAACAATTTTCTGGGTTCTTTTTTGCTTGCAAATTACAGTACTGCTCTATAATACACAATGTACTGCAGTATACCGATATATACTAATATATTATCTTTATTTTAGGCAAAAACTACCAAAAAGATCGTATTAAGAATGGAATGTGCCGACTGCAAGTTCAGAAAGCAAATTCCCCTTAAAAGATGTAAGCATTTTGAACTTGGAGGTGACAAGAAACGTAAAGGACAAATGATTCAGTTCTAGAATGTCCCGGTATATTTTTAAGTTAATAAAAAAATATCTAAAATTTGTATTTTTATTTAATCTTATATAAATTTCAATAACGTCTTTGTACAAATAGGTTTTGATTTCTTATAAAAAATACGAGTAAAATACAAAGGAATATGTGTTATGTACCTTCAGGTTCAATAGAGGATTCTGGAGCTAAAGCATCTGGATTACTGAAAAGTGAAATACGTTTACATTAGGAAAGCTAGTGAAAATAATTTTGATCAATATTCTACATGATACCTACAAAATAAAGTACAACTGAAGAATATTTTAAAGCTCACACGTTTTGTTTATTCAAAAATCTAGATATTTCTAATTTTGTGTTAAATATCTTTGATATATTTATTATGTTGAAAACATTGATAAGAATCTCATAATCATTTTTGTATTAGCCTATATTGTATTCAAATTTATTAAAGTTTGTAAATATCTATTGTCATCAAACATAGATCTTTAATACACATACAAGGTAACCCTGTGTTGTTTGACCCACATTTTTGCTAAACAAAGTTTTAAAGTGGTATGCTGTATATTAGGGTGCACAATTTTTTTTCTTTTTAAGTTACCATGAAAATACCTATTTTTCAGGATGATGAATAAAAAATTCTGGTAAAGTTTCAGCTTTTATGTCATATGAGGTATACCGGGTGCGTCTCAAAAGTGTCTCACCCCTATAACTTTTTTATTTTTTCAGATAAAACAACGAGATTTGGTATGTTAGTGTATGAGATAAATTGGGATTGATTGACGTATTCAATTATTTTCGGTCTTAATTATAGAAGAAAATAACATTCTGAATCGAATGACATATCATATGTCAATTTTTGACATAGTCACTGAAAAATAAATTCTATTTTAAATTTCAATCTAGAGTGCCATGGCTAAAACACTAATTTTTAATCAAGGAGCCTTGGAAAAATAGATTTGATCGTCTAATGTTTTTACTGTCTTGTGCTGGCCGGTTAAAAGATGCTCAAATCGTATTTTTAATCATATCTCAATTTTTTCAAATGGAACGAGGGTGGTTCATTAGCATATTTGGAAAAAGCATTTTTTTACGAATAATTTGATAGCACACACTTGGTATTTTGAGTCAAATTGTCGTTATGAACCGCATGATACAATTTCAAATAAACCATATGCCAAAATGTCAAAAGTTGACATAAGATATGTCATTCGATTCAGAGTGTCATTTTACTATCGAATGAAGTAAAAAAATACCGAGGGTGCTATTTAACAATCAAAAGTTGTAGTCATTTCCGGTGAAACCGGAAGTGACCGAAAATAATTGAATACGTCAATCAATCCCAATTTATGTCATATACTAACATACCAAATCTTGTTGTTTTATCTGAAAAAATAAAGAAGTTATAGGGGGAGCCACTTTTGAGACGCACCCGGTATAAGAGGTGTCTCGTGATTTTCTATTTCCCATTATATTTTATCATTAAATATGATATTTTATGTTTTTGAGCCATTATTGTGGTGCACCATACTATACAGGGTGTCCCACTAAGAATAGCTCTCGGCTGTATCTCGGGAAGTATTAGCCGTAGGGCCTACAGAAAAAAATATTTGACTAAAGGGGCTATGAGAAATTGCTGGAAATTATTTTATTTTCAAGTTTGTAAAACGGCTCTAGAGGGCGCAACTGCTATGGAAAATAAGAAAATAGATTTTTTACAGTATTTTGCCTAGATAATGGGTACTATAAATAATAGTTTCATAATCTTCAGTAAATTTTGGATTTTTTTTGTTAGAACCATTTTCCCCTATCTGCTAAAATAAAGTAGTGGGGGAAAGTTAGATCTATCTTTATTAAAATGTTAATAACTCCGGACTGGATGATCAGAATCCAGCAGACGAGGGCTCGTTTAAAAGAGCGTTTCTTACTCTATATTATACCACAAAAAAAATAATGTTTTGAACGTAGATGCTAGGGGGCGCTTTCTTACAATTTAACAAACAGCGCGTTTTTTCAAAAAAAAAATAAATATAGTATATGTAATTTTAGCTGATAGTAAAGAGTAGTAAAAGCTTAAAAAGTCAGCGAAAACCGCATCTTGATATCTTCTTTCAAACCAAAGATATTAACATAATTATAAGAAATACCAAAAAATAATCCCTTAATTACCTTATTTTTACAACACGGTATCAGTAGTCCTCTTGATTATGCCCATTCTAACAAAAAAATAAGATAGAGTTATTATTATCTAGGCTTATCTAGGGAAAATTCTGTAAAAGATCTATTATTTTATTTTCCATAGCAGTTGCGACCCCTAGCGGCCGTTTTACAAACTTGAAAATAATTTCCAGCAATTTCTCATAGCCTCTTTAATATTAAATATTTTTTTCCGTAAGCCCTACGGCTAATACTTTCCGAGATACAGCCGACAGCTATTCTTAGTGGGACACCCTGTACATGCACTCATAATTCTCCATTTAAAAATTAACATTAAAAAACATACAACTTTAGTGTTATAAAATATTTGAATTGCCCTGTATATCTATGAAAAATGCATATTATGTAAAAAATACTTTTTTTGAATAGTGGGTCACCTATATTAGTTTAACTAAATAAAAGCCATACTGCAATATAAAATATAAAAAGGCTATATAATAATAAAAGTTTCTAAATTATATACTAATATAAATAAATGTAGTTTCACTTACTCTAATAGGGTGGGATCTAAACCCTCCGTCTGCATTTTTAATTTTACAGCTTGTGCAGGTACACCGACATGTAACAGTTTAAAGAATTTAGCAAATCTAGGATCATCGCAAATTTTTATTGCATCTGTCGTGACTTCACTCTGATTTTCTGTGATAACAGGATTTGTGTCCACTTCTACAACGTTAAAAACATAATAAGTTCATTTGTATAAAAGAAATAAAAAATAATTACCACTGGATGCAGGACCTTTATCATTATCAATATTTTCTTGATTAATTTTATTCGTTTCGTTTGTGGAACCTACTTCATTAAGGTCATTTTCAGGTAAAACAGTTTTCGTTTCAAGACCAGGTATTGAGGATAACTATAATCCCGTAATTTTTAGGCAATTAAATTATATTTCACTATAAACCTACCTGAGCTTCTAAAATAAGTAAAGAAGCCTCAATTTTTTGGATTTTATATTCGAATTCCATGAAGCGCGATTCACAGGATTGCGCGAAATTATTTAAATAAGACACCGTGTTCATTAGAAAATGGTTTACGAAGGCTATAGTCCGTTTTTGTTGTATAGGCAAAATCTAAAATAACTTCAATAAAATCTTAATACGTCCCGTAATTGAGGTGTAACAATGAAAATTATCATAATATTATGACTCTTTTTGGGATATTTGAATATTTATTGTAATTTATTACCTCTTTGTAATCTACGTTAGCATTAACTGCGGTCAGTTCTTCATCTTGCATTGTCATAGTTAATTGATGCAATGAAAGTTAAATAATTTTGCATTATTTGCTAAAAGTCACATTCAAAAGTACCTTTAAACTTATTAAATCCTATATTTTCAATAATTCATCTCATTCCGAAAATCATTGTTTTTATTAATCAGCTGTTTTTTGTGAATATGTTTGACAGGTTGCAATTTGATGTTCGACTTCAAAAAGGAGATGGCGCTAAAAGTAAATTAAACAAAGAAACCTACTAAATCTATTAGTGTTTTAGTTGCAGAAACCTGTATTTGTCAAGTGTCCACATTAATCACAAGATGGATGTACAGACGTTTCATAAATTTTTAAATTGAAACATGGTAATAAATGCATTTAAATTGAAATGTATACTTTAAATTTGTATTTTTAATAATTCTTATCATTCCAACTGATTGTTTTTATTAACCAGCTGATTTTTGTGTAAATTTTTTGACATGATGTTCAAATTCAAAAAAGAGATGGAGCCAAAAGAAGGGGAAAAAAGAAATCTACTAAATCCATAATCATATTTTTTTGAAGAAACCTGTATTTGTTAAGTGTGAATATTAACCGCAAGATGGGTGTACAGTAGTTTCAAAAATGTTTAAATTCAAACCTTATTCAAACAGGTATTTTTTCAATAATTTATCTGTCATTTATTAATTAAAATTAAAACCCGTTAATTTTATTTGTACCTTTTCGTTGTGTGTGTTCATTATAGTCAGCTTAACAGTAAAAGTACCGCACTTAATACCTAATGAGAAAGGCTATACAGGGTGAGTCTTAAATAAGTACAAATATTTTCAGGGCTGGTAGATCTAAATAAAAGAAACATATTTTCTCTTTACCGTTTTTCAAATAAATCCAAATTAACCGAGTTTACTTTCACTTTGAAAATTTCCAAAAAAATGATTTTTTATTTTATTTTTTAAAGTTTCGAGAACCACTGGATCTTTCCTGGATTTTCTTTCTTGTAAATTTAATCTGCTACCTATGTTGCCATATTATCAAGAAATTATGTTTTTTAACTGAAAACTAAAAAAAAATAAAAATTTTCAAATTTTTTTTTCGCAAAATTAAATAATCGTGTTTCTGGGGTCGAAATATACTATCCCTAAAAATATTTGCACTTATTTCAGACCTACCTTGTAGACGCATTCTGTCCAATGTTTCACCTTCTTTAAAAAAATACCTTCTATAGATATTTTAATATTATATTTTTACACTTGTGTCTAGCCCCAGCAGGCAACTATTAAGTGCGACCAATCACGATAGAGTTTTTGACAAACACAAATGAATTAACATCCTCCAAATAACCACGCTAACCAACCTGATCGGTCAAGCTTAATAGTTGCCTGCTGGGACTAGACACTTCTTATTTTTACCAACTGTATAATCAGGTATAATCAAAAAAATGTGTAATTATTATTTGACATATTGACATACTTTACAAATGTCAGTGTCACGTATATATTTTATATCCTTATCAATATTTACAAAGAAGAAATGATACACAGCGATGATTATAATAACGATTTTATGATAGTTTTTATAATAGTTGTTGGGTAAACAAGTAAAGACAATTTACACACAAACACATTATATTTAAAACATTCTTTTCAGGTTTTCAGTGGCATTTTTACTACTGAGCTTAGTGTCGTACATTTTCCTAGGATTTAAAGTGGGATAAGCTTCCCAGAGCACCTCTGTTATACACAATTTATGCATTAAGAAAGACTGTTTCAAGAATCTGATATAACATAATAAAGCTTATGAATAGAATATTGGATAATTTTAATTAAAATACTATTTAGAAATGGAATAATAATAATAGAACTAAATGTAACAAAGAGATGGCAACTTTCATAGAGGGGGCATGTTTCGTAACCATTGCGCGTACACCAGAGGCGTACACTTAGATGCTGCCATATAACTGTACCGGGTGTCCCACTAAGAATAGCTCTCGGCTGTACTTCGGAAATTATTAGCCGTAGGGCTTACGGAAAAAAATATTTATTACTAAAGGGGCTATCAGAAATTACTGGAAATTATTTTCAAGTTTGTAAAACGCCGCTAGGTGGCGCAACTGCTATTGAAAATAAGAAAATAAACTTTTTACAGAATTTTGCCTAGATAATGGGTACTATAAATAACAGCTTCATAATCTTCAATAAATTTCGGATTTTTTTTGTTAGAACCATTTTCCCCTATCTGCTAAAATAAAGTGGTGGGGGAAGGTTAGATCTATCTTTATTTAAATGTTAATAACTCCGGACTAGATGATCAGAATCCAACAAACGAGAGCTCGTTTAAAAGAGCGTTTCTTACTCTAATGGTGGGTTCATACAGCCAAATAAAATAAAATAAGAATAAAATAAAATAAGAAATAAGGAATTCTTATTTGTGTGCGTTCATACAGTCAAATAAAATAAAATAAGAAATATATATTTGCTCATGCGCAGTACGATGAGGCTGGATAAAAGTTAACTTTTACGATTGTTTAAAGTAATTTTACTATTTAAACCGAAGATATTAGCAAATAGTATATTTATTTATTCGTTGCCTACTATATTATACATTTTACTTATGTGAAATTATAAAATAAATTAAATCAAACTGAAAATATTTGTAGAGTTAGAATTAAGCGTGCGCAAAGTTGCTTTTCATAAAATAAAACAAGAAGTTAAAAGATAAAAACTTCTTATTTTATTTGTTATTTTATTTGGCTGTATGAACGCATGTACGGTATCCCATATAACCAACTTTCTTATTTTATTTTATTTTATTCTTATTTTATTTTATTTGGCTGTATGAACCCACCATAAGTATTATACCATAAAAATAATAATAAAGTTTTGAACGTAGACGCTAGGGGGCGCTTTCTTACAATTTAACAGACATAGCGCGTTTTTTCAAAAAAATTAAATACGATAGTATGTGTTATTTTAGCTGATAGTAAAGAGTAGTAAAAGCTTAAAAAGTCAGCGAAAACCGCATCTTCATATCTTCTTTCAAACCGAAGATATTAGCAAAATTATAATAAATACCAAAAAATAAGCCCTTAATTACCTTATTTTTACAATACAGTATCAGTAGCCCTCTTGATTAGGCCCATTCTAACAAAAAAATAAGATAGAAACAGTTAGTTTATTTTAAAATCGACGAAATACCATAATACCAGATGTATTAATATCCAATAATTAAGATAATAATAGTGAACAAGAAACGATGATTCAGTGAAGTCATGGTAGGCTTTGGAAAAAAGTTGCTTTTCGCAATATATATATATAACTAAAATATACTCAGTGTTCCCTATTTAACCCCGTGTGCTGTTTTCGTGTCGTAAGAAAAAGACAACATAACTCAGCTCCATATTAATGCTGCATAAGTCTATTTCACCCGGATACCGATTGAACTGCGATTGCGCCAAACTCCGATTGATTGTTGTTTTAGTTCTATTTGGATTACTTTTTATTTGTGCGCGTAAAAGAGTGATTTTGATTAGTTTATTGTTTCCAACTATTTTTGACATTTTTCCAACTCCACGATAATGTGTTATAAATAATAAAAATATAAATAAAATTGAAGGTTAGGTGAAATGTCAGTCAACCACTTCCCTTTAAAAACACCGACCAATGAAAACTTCTTCAGGTAAGGCATGCGCAGTTAAATGAAAATCCGGGTGAAATAGACTTATGCAGAATTCCATATTTCTCTTTCACTGTTTGAGCTTCACTTTTTGGAGATTAGGCTGAGTATATTTTAGTTTGTGAAACATGACAAGCTGATACATTTACTGATCAGACAAGGATGTATATTATCGCCACTTCTGTTTAATTTATATTCTGAATCGATATTCCAGGAGGCGTTTGAAGATTTAGAAGTGGGAATAAAGGTGATGAATGGTAAACCTATTAATAACATCCGATATGCTGACGATACGGCGCTCCTAGCTGGCAATGAGAAGGATTTGCAGTGCCTGGTGGACAGAGTTAGCAGTATTAGTCAGAGTCATGGTCTTAAAATAAATATAAACAAAACAAAATTTATGATTATCAGCAAACAAAATAATGAAAATATCAACAAGTGGAAGATCAAATATAGAAAGGGTAAGAAGATTTAAGTACTTGGGTTGCTGGCTGAATGATAAATGGGACCCTGATGAAGAAATCAAACATAGAATTGAAATAGCCAGAACCACTTTTTTCAAAATGAAAACTCTGCTCATGCAACCGAGACCTGAATCTGACTACTCGATGGCGAGCTACCAAATGCTATGTACTCTCTACATTGTTATACGGAGTCGAGGGATGGACGTTGAAGGCACGGACCATGTCACGCTTGGATTCATTTGAGATGTGGTTATACCGAGGAATGTTGAAAATATCCTGGACTGAACGAATAACAAATCTCGAAGTATTAGAAAGAATGTGTAAGGACCAAGAACTACTGACTACAATAAAACGACGGAAAGCAGCATATTTTGGTCATATTTTTCGAAATAACAAATATACTCGTAGTTTCCTACAGCTGATCGTTGAGGGAAAGATTGAAGGACGACGAGGCATCGGGCGTAAACGGTTTTCCTGGTTGCGGAATTTGCGCCAGTGGTTTAATATAGGAGAGGCCAGTGCAATTATCCGTTTGGCTGAATACAGGGAGGAATTCCAATTGATGGTCGCCAATCTCCGATGAGGAGAAGGCACATGAAGAAGAAGAAGATATTTTAGTTATATGTATATGATGCAAACTATATAGCCGCAAGATAGCTATGTAGAGATTTCAAAAATGTTCAAATTCATTCAAACACATCAATCATAAATACATTTTAAAAATAAATACCCAAATCAACATTTAAACACGTATTTTTATTTATCTTTTGAAGAGAAAAATAACACTCGGATTTTATAGAGAAATGTTTGACACCATCACGAGGTACATAAATAAAAACGTTTATAATATTAATAACGTCAAAAACCTAAATATAATAATGATAAATCTACTAAACAAAATAATACACTATGATACTTATGTTTATCGTTAAATTTAGTTTAATTCAGACAGTGTTGTAACTGAATTCCGAAATTACAGTTATTAACAAGTACATTCTTTTGTAGAGTGAAGACATAAAAAGTAATATAATAAAGCTATGGAGT